CCTGCACCAGCACTTAGGAGAAATGGTTGCAGAGCCGCTTCAGTGGATTGGTTAGGCACAGTGGTGTCAAACGTATCGCCCGTGGGCCAGAACCAGCACTTCCAGGGCTCTTGGTGTAGTGGTTAAGTGCGTGGACTCTAAACTGGGAGAACCGGGTTTGATTCCCCACTTCTCCACATGAACCTGGCTGGATGACCTTGGGCAAGCCACAGTTCTGGCACAGCTGTCCTTGAAAAAGAGCAATTTCTGTCCGAGCTCTCTCAGCCCCACCTGCCTCACAGGGTGTCTGTTGTGGGGAGGGGAAGGGAAAGGAGTTTGTCAGCCGCTCTGAGACACCTTTGGGTAGTGAAGGGCCATGGGGTATAAATCCAATCTCTTCTTCTTTTTATCCGGCACATAAGCAATTGGCCATTACCTTTCTTGCCAGACGACAGAGGTTGTGCAGTACGTCCCTGTATACTGTCCCAGTGCTAGAGTAACGGACAGCAAAGTGGGAGGGAGTGCATCAGAGAAAGACTTTGAGGAAATACTGTAAGAGCATTAATGTTTTAAGTATGTTTGTATTTTGATTTTTTAAAAATAATATCATTAATTGGGTTTGCCTGTATCCTTTATAAAGCTTTTCTCTCCAGTACCTAGGCCCGACATTTATGTCAGATCCGGCCCTCGTAACAAATGAGCCTGACACCTCTGGGTTAGGATACCATACTAGGATCAGGGATATACAGAAGCTTGCTGGGCATCCTTTGCCCAGTCAACCCCACAAGGTTGTTGTGAGAATAAAATGGAGAAAACAACAATGTAGGCGGCTGCTTTAGGTCCCCACTGGGAAGAAAAGCAGTGTCTAAATTAAAAAAAAAAAGTAAGGGAATCTTCCCCTGCTACAGGAACCAACGCAAGACACCTTAACGGTCCAACAACAGAGGAGAATGTTAATAAAGACACAAAGAGACATTCCAGCTTTAAGATTCTGGGAGACATGTAGATGGTGGGCAAACGCTGTGATCACAGACACAAAGGTTGGTTGCGATTAAAGTCCAGGCATGCTTCTTAAGTATTTAATAGCTGGTATTGAAGGACTTGGGTGCACGGGCCCATAGGAGCTAACACCCCAAAATGGAGAAAGTGGGCAAACACCACAACGAGGGAGACAAAAGTTAATTACGATGACGCTCCAGGCAAGCCTCAGGAGTATTTAATAACCAGCAGAACAAAGTTTGAGTCCAGTGTTGCCTTTGAGACCCACAAAGTTTAATTCTGAGTATAAGCTTCCGTGCGCATGCACACCTTTAAGACCAACAACGTTTAATTCTGGGTATAAGTTTCCGCATGCATGCAAAGTTTAATCCTGGGCACGCACACGAAAGCTCATAACCAGAATTAAACGTTGTCGGTCTCAAAGGTGTCGCTGGACTCACACTTTGTTCCCGTCCTTCAGACCAACACAGGCGCCCCACCAGAATCTCTCTTAATAGCTAGTAGTAAAGGACAAGAGGGTTCCCACCAGTGTTCCCTCTAAGCTGACTTAGTGTGAGCCAGCTCACAGTTTTTTAGCCTCCGGCTCACACATTTTTGTCTTCACTCAGGAAGGACGGCTCCGGAGCAGACTAATCTATGCAGCAGCCAAATCGCTCGCTCACAACTTTCATGCCAGTGTAGCTCAAAAAGCAGAATTTTTGCTCAAAAGACTCCACAGATTAGAGGAATGCTGATGAAGGTATTGATTATAAGCAGTGTTCCCTCCAAGCTGAGTGAGTGTGAGCTAGCTCACAGTTTTTTAGCCTCCGGCTCACACATTTTTGTCTTCGCTCAGGAAGGATGTGGCTCCAGGGCAACCCAATTTATGCAGTAGCCGAATCGCTCGCTCACAACTTTAATGCCAGCAGCTCACAAAGTAGAATTTCTGTTCACAAGACTCCACGGCTTAGAGGGACCATTGGTCCCCACCCCTCTGAGCGGCTGTTCTTCACACCTGGGCTGGGACACAGAGGGCCAGTCAGCCAACCTCCTTCCCCGCAGAGCCTGCTGCTTCCATACAACACCTAGAGCCACCAGCCACACTGCCACTTTCAAGAGCAACTCCAGAGCCCAACCGGTTTCTGCAACTGCAATGCTCCCTCTCAGCTGTGGAGTCTAGTGAGCAAAAATCCTACCTTGTGTGCTCCTGCCATTAAAAGTTGTGAGCGGGCAATCTGGCTACTGCGTAAATTACTTTGCTCTGGAGCCATCCGTCCTGAGCCAAGACAAAAATCTGTGAGCTGGAGGCTAAAAGACTGTGAGCTGGCACACACTAACTCAGTTTAGAGGGAACACTGCTTGCAAGCAATACTCCCTTCTAAGCTGTGGAGCCTTGTGAGCAAAAATTCTACTTTGCGAGCCACTGGGATTAAAGAAAATTTCTCCTTGGGGAGCCACTGGGATTAAAGTTGTGAGCGAGCGATTGGGCTGCTGCGTAAATTAGTCTACTCTGGAGCCCCATCCTTCCTGAGCCGAGACAAAAATCTGTGAGCTGGAGGCTAAAGGACTGTGAGCTGGCACACGCTGACTCCGCTTAGAGGGGACACACTGAACTGCACTGGAAATCACTCCCTGCGAGCACTTCGGGTGGCCGGTCTCCCGGAATGACGGCCGCCCTCCAGGCGACGGAGGCACCAGTCTCCCCCTCCCCCCCCCGGAGAAAGCGGTTGTTTCGGGAGGGCGGAGCTCTGGGGCATCCCACCCCGCCGAGACCCCTCCCGCCCCCCAAGCCCAGGCCCATGCAAAGCCCGCCTCCTCCTCCTCCTCCTCCGGGCCCGGCCGAGGCCTTCCCCCGCAGGGCGGGAGGGAGGAAGGCGGGTCGGGGTTCACGGGCCGGAGGGCGCCTCTCGGGTCCGCCCGCGACCTCACCTGCTCCTTCGGGTCGCGCAGCTCGTGAGGCGGAGACGGCGGCGTCCGAGGCCTCCCTGTCTGCCCGTCTCTCTCGCTTCCCCCGCTCGTCTGCTTCCGGTCGGCCTTTCCGCCTCCGCCGCGGACTTCCGCAGCTGCAGCGCCCCTGCCGCTCGGAGGCCTGCACTGACAGGGGGAAAGGATTGACGGGAGCCCCCATTGGCTGGCGGCGACCTGCTCTCTGGAGCGTGGGTGAGACGGAGGGTGAACTTCCTCCTGATTGGCTGCGGAGCCTTCCCGGGCTCTTGATTGGTGGTCATGACAATTAAAAAACCCTCGGTCCATTGGCCGCAATAGCCAGTCGCCAATTTCGATTGGCGGGCGCCTTAGACTTGACGTGTCACTCTCTACGAGTCCCGCCTCTCTAACCCGGAAGTTAGAGTTACTGAGCCGAGAGGAACGCGAGAGATTAGGAAAGGAATGGCGGCGGCTCTAGACGTAAGCAGCCAATCACTAGGGTCGGTCACGCGAAAGGGTTACGAGGGCAGGGCCTCCGCAATGCTTCTGAGGGAATCCTAGTGCGCATGCGCGAGACCGTGGATGCTTTCTCTCTTCACGTGACTCTCCAATGCCACAGCAGCCGGACTGAGCGAAGGAAGGCGCATGCGCGCTGCCCGTTCGCCGTCTGTTGGGCGGAGTCAGAATTAACCCGAGGCGGGGATTTCTAGGAAGGGGCGTGGCTTGCGAGATCTTGCCTTCTTTGGCTGGTTGACGTCATTTACGCGGCCTCTGTGACGTCACCAAAAAGAATACCGGTAAAGGTGACGTCACGCCCCTTCCCATTGGCCGCCTCAAAGGTTGGAAAACGTGGAAATTCAATATTCCCCACCGAGTTGTTGTTTTTTTGGACATTTACTCCCCCAGTTCAGCTGCTCGCTTTTGCAGCCTCCAGACAGCGGGTGAGTGACGTCGTCCTGCCCGCTCTAACGCCATCAGAGCCCCGGTTGCCAACCCCCAGACGGGGCCTGGAGATCTCCCGGAATAGCAATTGATCCCCCAGACTATACAATACAGGAAAGGGCAGATTTGGAGAGTGGACTCTGGGGCATTAGACTTTACAGAGGTCCCGCCCCGAACACCACCCTCCCTGAGTCTGCACCAGTGTTCCTTCTAAGCTGAATGAGTGTGAGCTAGCTCACAGTTTTTTAGCCTCCGGCTCACACATTGTTGTCTTAGCTCCGGAGGGACGGCTCCAGAGCAAGCTAATTTATGCAGCAGCCAAATCGCTCGCTCACCACTAATGCCAGGAGCTCACCAAGTAGAGGTTTTGCTCATGAGACTCCACATCTTAGTGGGAGGGAGCATTCTCCAGGAATTTCCCAACTGGGTGGGAGCAACTCTACCAGTGCAATTGCCAAGCATGGCTGCACCTGAAGGGGGTGCTGGTGGGTGCAAGTTGCCACCACACACCCCAGCATGAGATACTGGAGTGTAAAAGTAGTCATTGAAGGGAAAATCCGATTTTCAGCACCCCACATTTCTTTGCCCGCCCCCAAAGAAGTGAAGGATTCTGAGCCAGCCGCTGCCCACGTAGATGGAGCAGCAGAGTCAGGCGGGGCTGGAAGAGAAAGCTGCGCGTGGAGCTCCCACTCAGATTCCCTCGCAGCACAGAACGGCTGGCGCCAAAAGGCTGCACCTCAGGCAGGCACTTGATTAAAGAGAACCTCCATAGTCAGAGGCAGTCAAACTCTGGATACCAGCCCTGGGGCGCCTTGGCCTCTGTGCCCTGTTTGTGGCTCCTCAGAGTAACCGATTGCAAGAGCTCGCGAGCCACTGTGTGAAATGGGATGCTGGGACAGATGAACACACATGGATCTGCCTCGTACTGAATCAGACCCCCCCCCCCCTTGGCCCATCCAGGTCAGTCTTGTCTGCTCAGACTGGCAGCGGCTCTCCAGGGGGCTCAGGCAGAAAAGGGGCCCTTTTTAGCTGGAGATGCTGCCGGGGACTGAACCTGGGACCTTCTGCATGCCAAGCAGAGGCTCTGCCCCTGAGCCACGGCCCCTCTTGATACCTCTCCAGCGTCTCAGGTGGAGGTCTTTCCCATCACCTCCTGCCTGGTCCTTTTTAACTGGAGATGCTGCCGGGGATTGAACCCGGGACCCCCTGCATTCAAAGCAGAGGCTCTACCACTGAGCCATGGCCCCTCCCCACACATGTAACCCAGCAGAAGCTATTTGGTGTAGTGATTATGAGCGTGGGCTCTAATCTGGACAACCAGGTTTGATTACCCACTCCTCCACATGCAACTGCTGGGGTGACCTTGGGTCAGTCACAAGTCCTCTCAAGGGCAGTCCTCAAAAGAGCTCTCTCAGCCCCACCTACCTCAAAGGGGGTCTGTTGTGGGGAGAGGAAGAGAAAGGAGACTGTAAGCTGCTTTGAGACTCTGAGGGAAGGGCGGGGTATATATCCAATCTCTTCTTCTACTTTAAGTTTGTCAGCCGCTCTGAGACTCCTTTGGGTAGTGAAGGGCGGGGTATAAATCCAATCTCTTCTCTTCTTCTTCTTCTACTCTTCTCCTCCTCCTTATGTTCCTATGTGAGCAGGGTGTTCCTCCGATCTTTCCCAGGTGTGGCTGTCTAAGCCATGGGGCTCCTTCCCCCCATGCTGGTCTTTTGCCTGCTGGCTGGCGCTTCCTCCATGGATAACGGGCTGCTGAGAACGCCACCGATGGGCTGGGTGCCATGGGAACACTTCCGATGCAACACGGACTGCCAGAAGGACCCTGACGATTGCATCAGGTGGGACGAAGGGACGTGGGTTCAGTGTGGCTCCAGACTCCTGCCTGGAATGTTGTCCTGAGAGGGAGGAGGCACAGTTACGCTGCTTTCCTTCTCAGGGCTCTCCTGCCGTTGGTTTTTGTTTGGTGGGCACCATTTGCAGGTGCATGGGGTGCACGCACCCACCTGCGTTGCCCGCAAACAGGTTTCTCGGTCATTCCACATGAAAAATTGCTCTACCGCCTGGTAATCCTGGCGGCTTCTCCTCAGTGTTCCCTCTAAGTTGAGTCAGCGTGAGCTGGCTCACAGTTTTTTAGCCTCCAGCTCAGACATTTCTGTCTCAGCTCAGGAAGGAGGTGGCTCCAGAGCAAACTGATTTATGCAGGAGCCAAATCGCTCGCTCACAGCGTGAATGCCAGTAGTAGCTCCCGAAGTAGGATTTTTGCTCACAAGACTCCAAAGCTTAGAGGGAGCATTGCTTCTCATGTGTGAAAAACCAAAAACAGAAAAGGGGAGAGAGGTCTCAGTACAGAAGCAAGGAAGAAACTACACAGTTAAGGCAGATCAAGACGGGGAGCTGTGTCAGTCTGTCTGTAGCAGTGGAAAAGAAGTGAGCCACAAATTGTGTTAGTATTTAAGGCGCCCCTGGACTCTTACTCTATACCAGGGCTGGCCAAACCTGCTCAACGTAAGAGCCAGATAGAATAAACATCAGATGTTTGAGAGCCGCAAGACATGAACAAATGTTACACACACGTTTTTATTTTAAAATATGCAGATTTGCTTTTTATGACTGCCAAAAATAAAAACCAAAGGGGTAAAAACAGATATTGATAATGATATTTATTTGTCCAACGATATTTATTTGTTTGCTAATGATATTTATGTGTCTAAGGTGGAAAGGAAGAATGAAAGAGGTGGAAAGAAAGAGAGAAAGAGAGCGAGAAACAAAGAAAGCAAATAGATGGGGAGGGGAAGGGATGAAGGGATAGAGACAGAAAGAAAGAGAGAGAGCATATAGATGGGGAGGGAGAAGGGATGAAGGAAGAGAGACAGAAAGAAAGAGAGAGAGCAAATACATGGGGAGCCTCCCACAGTCTGGCCACCCCTGCTCTATACAGTTAAGACCTCTACAAAGCATAGACAAAAATAATAACCACCGATAAATATAATGTATATATATAATTTTCATGTGATAAACCCAGAAATCCGAAGGAAGACTCCCATAGGTAGTATGTGACAATATCCAAAACTCCACTTAAGTATACATTTGAAGGTTACAGAGATACGAAGGTTACATAAATTGCATAAGACAAGCTCCTGGGTTACTACTGCTTTCGATAAGTAATCCTCTTCAGTTTGTTTTAAACCCTCCCCTTAATTAGAGATCAAATAAGTGGTTCATGTTTTGCCACATAAATCTGAGGAAAAGATAACGTGGTGACCTATATGGTATAACAGTAACAGCAACTCTGAAGTTCCACTAAATGCAATTACGTATTAAAATCCAATACTATCAAACATGTATGCCTAATTAATATAGATTCAGGTGGGCCGTTGTGTTGGTCTGAAGCAGCAGAACAAAGTTTGAGTCCAGTGGTGGCACCTTCAAGACCAACAAAGTTTTATTCGAGGTATAAGCTTTTGTGTGCAGGCACACTTCGTCAGATACAATGAAGTGGGAATTACCAGTCCATACATATAGGTAGAGGGCAGTGTTCCCTCTAAGCTGAGTTAGTGTGAGCTAGCTCACGGCTTTTTAGCCTCCGGCTCACACATTTTTGCCTTAGCTCAGGAAGGATGGCTCCAGAGCACACTAATTTATGCAGGAGCCAAATCGCTCGCTCACAACTTTAATGCCGGGAGCTCACCAAGTAGAATTTTTGCTCACAGGACTCCACAGCTTAGAGGGAACCTTGGTAGAGGGTGAGCAGTAAATTAGCAGACAGCATAATGAAGACCTCCTGCCAACCTAGCAGTTCGAAAGCAAGAAATTGCAAGTAGATAAATAGGTACCACTTCGGTGGGAAGGTAACAGCATTCAGTGCGCCTTGGTGTTTAGTCCTGCCGGCCACATGACCACGGAGAAGTCTTCGGACAGCACTGGCTCTTCGGCTTTGAAACAAAGATGAGCACTGCAACCCTAGAGTTGGACTCGACTGGCTTTTGAGCAAGGGGACCTTTACCTTTACCTATAATGAAGACATGTAACAGATTCAAGGACCAAACAGGAATAACAAGCTTAGTTTATACGGTTACTATTTGTTTGGGTTTAATTCCAGCGGGGAAACATAGTGAAGGAAATAAATATGTAAAAACTGGGGATTGTTGGGCAAATGTACTCTTCTTAATAGTGGAATGCGGAGACTCATGACCATATAAACTAAGCTTGTTATTCCAGTTTGGTCCTTGCATCTGTTAAACACCTTTTATTATGTTGTATGCTAATCTGCTGCTCACCCTCTACCAATGCTCCCTCTAAGCCAGTGATGGCGAGCCTTTTAGAGACCGAGTGCCCAAACTGCGACCCAAAACCCACGTATTTATCGCAAAGTGCCAACACGGCAATTTAACCTGAATACTGTAATGTCTCTTATTATAGCGGTGCAGCCGTAGTCACAAGCACAACACAGTTCAGGTCCGCGACCTCGTTTATTCAATAGTTTCCTAAATACAAGAT